AATGCTGCTATATGAGTAAATTTACATCCCAGGGGTAACGCAAGAAAGCCTAAAAAATACGGTCTTTCAGTGAAGTTAGCGTCGATAGAAGTTACGATTTGAGCTACTCTAAACAAGCTGTCATTATTTTGCTAAAATCTGATTTTTTGATTCAAAAAATAAATTATACTTAGCAATTGGATACGCTAACAGAATGAGAGATTTAAGGACCTAATATAAAAACTGACAGAAGCGAAATATGCTGCAAATTAGTCGAGTTATAAATTATTTAAAATTTCATCCGAAGTTGCAACTTGCAAGGCATCATATTTACGGTAGTGGTTGAAACGACTTCTGTTGTGTAATTCATGCTTAGTACAGTATTATGCTCCTACTGCGGAAAGAGTGTCTAGCCTAGCTCCATATTTTATATTTCACCTACACACTAACAGCGCTCTGAATTATACAGTTTACACAGTTAAGAGAGGATAAACCGAGAAATATAAGTTAAGAACATTTTGTCTTGAATTATTTTCTCCAAGATCTGAATTTACGAATATTCCATTTTAGAATTTTTTGAATAATATTAAATCGAAGTTATATTTACTGATCAACAGCTTCTATGCAACAAAGCCAAGGTGACAACTTCTAATTTGCTTTGTATTTAGTATTTATTTTTTATTTTTTTTATCAATTATTTCATTGTATTTTATGCCATTTGTGGAGGCAACAGAAGTTTATAAACCAAATAATTTTTCCAATTGGGTTAAACTTACTAAAATAACTTGGTTCTGAAACGGAAATTTTTCAGGATTCAATGTTTTTGACATAAACAAATTTTGTACTACTATACCATGAGGATGAAGTCTGCCACTACGTTTTCTATTCTCCATGGATATTCATTATTTAATTCAGCGATTCATGCCACGGATATGACCCCAACACATTAAATCACATGCTAAAGCTAGCACCAAAATTTATAAATGTAGAAAATTTGACCTCCAAATTCTCCTTGAATCAGTATTTGTTCAAAATTTATTCCAAAAATTGTTCAAAAATGCTACAATGCTTATGTTATTTTTCCTTGTTCATCTCAGGCCTTAGTCCTATGACTGCCTCGATTCTGGAGTGTTCGCACACCGGTCTTGAGCGCCAATCACAAAGGTATAATATTGATTATACATTTGAATAACAATAAATTTGTTCAGTCATTGGTAAGAGGGTTTTGAGCGCCATTGCCAGTATTATTTGTTTTAATGTGTGAACGTGAGTAACGTCTTGGCAGGTTAAATCTTGTAGGGATAATTATGTCGCAACGACTTGAGGTGGTCCAAATAACTGACGATTATTTACGGCTTTCTTCACCATCAAGTCTATGTATGTATCTGAAACCAATAACTGACCAACTATCCCCATACCCAACATGGACTAGAAACTGGACGAGAGGCCGTGGTTTGCCATAAGAATAAGCTGTCTAATCCACTTTACTCTCTCAGGATAGATATGATGTCCACTACAGTATATAACAAGAATTACATAAATTTATAAATTTGGTTATGAGTTTTCGATGAATAATAAGAGATTAATTACAACATGTATAAAAGTTTATGTTTGAACAATGAAAAGGTATTTCTCATATGACATTTTATCATGAGTAAATAAGTATATTTGTGTAAAGGTACATTTCAAGTGTTTCACTGTTTGAATTGCTTCAATGGTGCGCAATATTTGTCTTTCATGAGCATGATACAGCGATTTAAACAAGATGAATCATGATTACTAGCATTGGGGTTATTTCCCCCCTCACTTGGTATAAAAAGAATTTTTTATGTAGTAGTGAGCTCTTTGGATTTTGAATATTTCAACTGTCATGCGGTTGATATCACCTGTATGTCTAAATATATGAATATTTAGCAGTGTCTGATATTGAGACTCAAGTCAAGCTAAGAGCTTAAAAAAAGGTACCAGAGAAAACAATAAATCGTGGCGGGAACTAGAGTTAGTGAGCAGGTTCTTTAACTTATAAGAATATCTTCACCCATTATATATATCAGTAATTGCTTGCACATAGCCTTGAGTGGAAGTATTGTATTAAAAATAGATAGTCTCAGTAAAAATTAACATTTTTTTCTGTGTGGAAAACTGATCATAATGCTACTGAGTATCATCTATTTGTATATTTTTAAAAATTATTATGAAGGAAGAGACTTTGTTCAAAGAGGGAGAAAAAAGATCATTAGAGGACTTGATTTATAATATAGCAAATCATAGTGTCTTACCTAATCATATCAGGCATAGAAATTGTTAACCAGTAATTTATTTCAGATGTGCGGTTGAATAGCCTAATAGGCAGTCACCGTTTCCTTGCTTTTAAATTTGAGACCAGTAAGAGACCCCTTTTTCATATCAATTTTTGTCTTTTCTGGGTTACCCCCCGGCCTAGTTTCAGCCCCCAGATCTTGTTACCAAAAACAGCTTGGTAACTTCTTCAAGCATCGCACAAATCCCAGAAAACTTTGTTCTAATCATTAATTACACTCCACTCAATTTAGAACAACGTAGTTTTAGCGTTATAAATTAAATACAGGATCATCTACACAGAATTATTTATTTTTCGATTAAATAAAAGTTAACGGTAGATAGTTATTCATCGTCCATCTAAACAGCAGCACATATTGGTGATATTTTGAAGAAATCGTTATTTGAAGAAAAGTACATAAATTTATTTCATCTTATTCCCTCATAATGGCGGTACCTTTTTCTGGGAAAACATGCATGGGAGTATTGGTACATAGATTTTCATTTCAAGGCGAAGACGTAGCTTGCAATTCAAAAAAGTATTTTTTTTTTACGTTTAATGTTTCTATTAGAAGAATCAGATGACTAAATAATAATCCGTAATCAGCAAATTAATTTGGGTAATTCCATTTCATATTGATTAGTTAGTTTTTGTGAATTTTTTAGCAGAAATTTTCATTATTATGATTATATGGTGAAGTACAAGTAAAAGTTCAAAAGCTGTGTGCTGGGATTCTTCAGGACACCACTAGATTACCATGTTTCTCCGAAAATAAGAAGTTTCCCAGAAAAATTTTCTTTTGAAAAATAACACTAGGGATTATTTTGGGGGGATGACTTTTATTTTCATATATTGATAACAAAATTACAAAGTAGAGAATTACGAGATTTACGAATATACAAAATATAGAAAAAATGATATTCATTCACTTGTAAATAACATGTTTTTTTCTCGTCATCGATTTTTCCTAATCTCTCACAATTCAGAATTGCATTTTTTCTTTCTCTCCTTTTTGCCTAACAAATCCAGCCTCAGATCACTTTACAATCGGTTACATTGCAAAAACATTCCTATATCATATCAACTTGAATTTGAATTTGAAGTATATAAAAGACATAAGTATTACTTTTAACATTTGTTACGAAATTGTACGAAGTTCAATATTTATTTACTCATAAATAACATGTTTTATTTTAAAAAAAATGCTGAACATAGATTATTCAAAAATTACCTCGATTCATTGAACCTTTTCCTCTCTTACACGTTTAAGATCAATCATTTAAAACGTGTAAGAGATATTTCGGACATTACGATCGGACATTCAGTCACATTATAATTTTTTTTAACTTGTGCTCAAACGAAGTTTGCACAGTGATTGAATGCAAGATTTTTTTTTATTTCCCAATATTGTTTTAATTTATTGTCACTCTTAAAAAGGCATTGGGCAAGAAGCCACTAAAGCAGGGGTGCACAACACGGGGCACGCGTGCCAAATTTGGCACGCCATACGCTCAAACGTGGAACGCGAACGGTCTTGTAATAAGAATTTTTATTTATTTGTGATATACATTAAAATATGACGTTTGTATCAAAATCAGCAGTTTTTCAGGACATTAAATTGTTTCAATGAATATATATTCGTTATTACGTATTATTATTAAAACTTGTTTAATGTGTGTTTTACGGAAGTTAATTTACAATTACAACGATTGTGCGTGGTTCGCGACAAGATTATTTTGAAAAATTTGGCACACGTCCTCATTTGAATTATGCACCCCTGCACTAAAGCATGCGTAATTCAACAAGTCTAACCTTGGTTAGAGGAAACAAAAAGATATTTGTGATAGTGTGCAGCATTCTGTACAGGACCCCTGATTATCATTCCAGTGTTATTTATAGTGGTATTTTGATTGTTAAGATTCCAAATCCGATTATGTTCAAACAAATCATGTTCAAAGTCAAAACATACTGTCAAGTAACCCTATCAAGCAATGAAACTAGGAAGAACTGTTTTTTTTTTGTTGAGTGAAAAGTAATCTGTTTTGCGCCGAGCATTATGGCCCCCCTCAAACTGTTCTGTTGCCTGCTTGGGGGCCAACACTTCAGCAGGGTGGTTTTCGTTATCGCTGCTCAGTTACGACTTTCCACTACCATCAAGTCCATGCATCTAAAACAAATAACTGTCTAACTAATCCCATACCCGAAATGGACTGGTAACCAGACAAGAGGCCGTGGTTCATCGTATGATTAATTCGTCATATCAACTTCCCTCAAGTAATAAATATAAAAATCTTATCCAAACACATTTTCTCATCCAGTGGTTCCCAACCTTTTCATCAAGCGACCCAAATGTTTTAAAAAATAAATTTTGTAGAATCCGGCGACCCAAGGATATGCTCGAATACTAAACGTTATGTAATGCCTATGCCTTTGATCGTATATAAATACTAATACCCTGCTTAAATAGTCACAAAATTAACTGCCAGACTGATAACGCCAGATGCCAAGTTTTCACACTGTGCTACTTCCTACATATACAATTATTGTTGAGCAGCACTTTAATACAAATATAAATTATGCAATAAAATTTACTAGAAAATAAAAGCATTTACTTTTAGGTTGTTGTTAAAAAAAACAAGCGACCCAAGAAAATTTCCATGCGACCCAATAGTGATTCGCGACCTATAAATTGAGAACACTCTAATATACCTTTATATTTCAGCCACACTATTCAACCAGCAAATCAAAAGAAGCAACTTGTTGCTGTAGAAGCTGACGGAACTATATCAGATGATGTTCGAGACCCACCTGGGCAACAAAGTATCTACATACCACCTGGTGAGAATCTCTTTTTTTTACCTCTAATTGTTGCTCCTCTTGTATTTAAATTTTTTTTATCCTGGTTGGTATTTTTTTGAAAGGATATTTGCTCTAAGTTAGGTCATGCTTGGGGGTGTGCAACCGGTCACCCACACAGCCAAACTATTGTGGCTGAAAAAAGCGATTGAAAACAGCGAAATACTTTTCCTAAGTCAAAAACTCCCCATTCATTTAAATCAGTGTTTCTCAAACTTTTTAAGTCGTGCCCCGTTTTTAGTCTCTCGCCCCACCTCAAAAATAAATAGCCAACAATAAGCCATGGATAACAGATAGTAAAGCGAAAGTATGTTTTATTCAAACAACATGTATAAAATATGCTGGCAAGATCAAATCCAACAAAAATTGTTAATTAGCCTCACTCCCCTCGTCCCTGAAAAAAATGTCTACGTCCCTCTTGAGGGTCGCACACCATTGTTTGGGAACCACTGGTTTAAATCTCCCTTCTCAAATATGAAAATTGTTAAAAATAACGGAACAATTACATGGCAGAGCATCAAAGATTCCAGTTGATATTACAAAGTGAAGAAATGATATTCAAATAAGGTTTTGCTTAAGCTGAAGAAAAAAACCTATAGGGTTTCTATATCAGCAATTCTCAAAAACAAGTAACTAAAATAAAGAAATGTAAATATCCATGATAAGGCCGTAAAGTTCAAATAAACAAATATTTTTATTTTTAATCAGCTTCACACCTCCCTCATAAAATTGTCTATGCGCCCTTGTGGGACGCCCCCCATTATGAGAACCACTGTTGTAGAGAAATCTAAATTTTGATTTCTGAAATTACGACTCCTGCTTTGGTGAAAATACACCAAGCTCCACAGACCTTTAGACACTAATAAAGTTTTCAGTAAATTTTCAAGAATTAAATCAAATTTTATTCATCAGGTGATGTCAGAAGAGAAGCCTACAGACTGTCAACCTATGAGCATTATCCAGTTTCATCCCCCATCAGTAGAAAAAGTTTGGCAAAAGCAGGGTTTTATTATACAGGATTCTTCGATCGGGTGAAATGTTTTTCTTGCGCGAGAACAGTAGAACGATGGAATGATATAGACAGTCCTACTGATATAAGATGGCACAAGTGAATATGCTTTTACATGTTTTATTGGATATTTACATTTAGCTTTTAGGGTTCTCCTGGAGTATGTGCACTAAGATGACGCACAGCCTGAACATAGTATGCCTACTAGGTTATGGTTCAGATTGTGCGCCATCTTGGTGCACATATTTCCGGAGAGCCACTTTTAGTGCAGGAATATCACTATTAGCGCTATATGCTAGACCGGGACTTTTCAAAGTGGGGGTCCCGACCACACGATCGGGTTGCAAAGGGCTGAATGGGGGCGGTGATCAAATATTCATGTTAGAAAAATTTATCGGCTAAATTTGTAGGATTTTAAAACATTACTGAGACCCTCTATCGCCGAAATACAGCCAAGACTCAATCTTTTGTGCGAGAATATGCATGCACGTCGGTTTCATAGAGGGTATTTCCATTTGCCAATTTTATATTTTTTTTAACATCTTCTGTATTATTAAATTTTACTGTTTTTTTAGTTATTTACAGAGCAATGCGCCATGGTAGATTACTTTTCATAAAAAAATTCAGAAACGAGGTCAAAACAGTATGGCTCAAGAGCGCCACCGAGCAGTCATACAAATACATTTGACATAATAATATATTACAGCCCCTTACAAAGACTTGATCCATGTGGCTCGGTCCATGCTCCCTTTTAAAGACCCTCAGCACTTGTAGCCCAATCCGTTGCCCCTTTTAAAGACTTATAATGCTTGTAGCCCAATCCGTGGCCTCTTCTAAAGACTTCCAACACTCGTAGCGGAATCCGTGGCCCCTTTCAAAGACTCATCACACTTATAGCCCGATCTGTGTCCCCTTTTGAAGACTCCAATAGTTGTGGTCCCCTGCTCTTCTGTAAAAATACCCAGTTTTGTTTTTAGTTCGTTTCCATCAGTTATTACATGCTCTGTGTTTAATAATAAAAGTCAACAGCGAAAGCAAAGTAAGAAAGGCATTACAGTCAAAGAATTGAACAAATCGCATTTACTTTAAATTATGTCGCCACCGTGAAATGCTATTATTGTGGCCCACTGAGGGTGTCGATGGCACAGTTTTAGAAATCCTGTACTGGACAATTAATTTCATTTTGATTATTATTTTCGAAGCTATTTAGTTGCAAAATTTTGAGTCATTTTCCATCAAAATTTTCTCAGCTTCAAGCTATCTGAATAGTTGGGTTTTTTGAATTGCGCTTGACCACCCAGCGGCGGCGAGATACCACTGTCCCTGCATGTGATTCGTATCTGCAAACCCATGCATGGTAATCAGAGGTGTGGAATAAGCCAACCTGTGATTAACCATATGAATAAGCCACCTCATCGACTTTTCTCTTTTCTGGGATAACTATAAAAGTCATATCCAAATAAAACCCAATTTCTAATTCAGATTTCTTTTTCAGGTCAGATTGTCTGTTTGCAAGAAACCATGACAGTGGCAACATACCAATAAGAAGTTTATTTGAAAGAAGTAGCAATCAAGCTGGCCCATCCAGAAATCAGGTAAGCTCCTGCGTAATTTGTAAATGGGAATAGGGAATAAAATGAGCTTGCATCAGAATATGCTCTAACTAAGGGGTGTGTAACCTTTAATACAAGAGGGCCACATTCAGATAACTGGAAGAAACTGCAGGGCGCTCCTTTATTAAACATGGGCATTTAAGTAGTTGCAGACACAATGCTCTTATGACATGGGTTGTTCGCTACGCACAAGCTAGCTGTTAGGGCATTGTATAGTAATGAAAAGATGGATTCAGCTATACGCTTTGCACCGCAAAGGGATTTGGATTAATCACACATACCAAATAAGACTAAATTAAAAAGTCATTCTGTGGGTCGAGCACAATTCAAAATTGGCACGTCTCCGTGGGCTGCATATTTGGCTCACGGGCAGCGGGTTGCACACCTGCACCTATTCAAGCTAGACCATCCAAACAATCAGGTAAGTTTTTCAAGACTCGTCTTTGTAGAAGGGAATAAAATAATCCCTACGAAATAGCGGGTATATTTGTGACAATATGCTTTAACTCAGTGGTTCTCAAACTTTTTCAGCCACGCCCTCTTTCAAGTATTTGTCAAGTCTTGCGTCCAACTTCAAAAATAACTAGCTAACAATAAGATACAAACAACAAATAGTAAGGCGAAGTATGTTTCATTCAAAAAACATGTTAAAAATATGTGGACGGGACGTAAATATCCCAAATAAGGCGGGCAAGATCATTTCTGACAATATTTTTAATTAGCCCCCTCAAAAAATTGTCTAAGCCCCAACCCCCTTGTGCATGACCCACCCTTTGAAATCCACTGCTCTAACTAGATATAGATATGGTCATATAGACCAGGAGTTTTTAAACTTTTGGTTGTATGGAGCAGAGCCCCGCAAATTTGACAAATTGATAAGGTGGTGAAGAAAAGTGCAAGGCTGTAATTTGCGTATGGCATTATCTTCTGAAACTTGAAGATAAGGATTTTTGAACTGAACATATTATGTGTACCAGGTTTTGGTCAAGCCATAATTTTAATCCAATTTTCCTTATTTTAGTAAAGATTTAGTTCTATTACGAGTTTGAGGACTAGCCAAGTGACTCCTGTAGTATTAGTACCTGAAATTATGGCCTGGCCCTAACATGGTACACATGGAATGTTCCGGTGACCATCTTGGTTCACATACTTCGGGGGTACCGATTTGGGATCAGCATTGAAACCAATTCTTGTGATGTTAACTACATCAAACAAGAAATAATTTGTCCAAATGGATGTGTGTCATTTTAAACTGTCTTGTTTCTGATCAAACTAGAGATTTTTTATGATGTTTTTCACACTCTGTACAAGACTTGAGGCCCTACTGATATATATAACGAACTACTTCGCTTTAGAGAGAACCTTTCTATGGTCTACCCTAGTGGTTACCAAAGTTGATTGATTGGGGGCTAAGAGTAATATCGGTAGGATATTTGCGATCCAGGAGAGGGGTGCGTCCGCAAGAGCCGGCACTTGTTGTCTGGTATAATTGTTTTGTTACAAATATACATGCATATAAACTGTGTCAATGATGTGTCAATTGGCTGTATCTAGAACGCGAAAAGAAAAAAATATTAAGTGTTAAACTATTACATTTAAGTTCGACGGGTCATATCAAATCGTTGCAGAGTCCATAATTGGCCCGTGGAATGCGGTTTAGGAAACACTGGTCTACTACCTGTATTACATCCTGAGTAACAAGGCGGTAGGTAGCCCGCTGCACGAACATTGTTGAACCAATGCACTGACCAAAATAGAAATACTCTCACTCTCACACAATGACATTATGATTTATGACTAGCACAATCTATCATTTGGTTAATAGGCTACACAGGGTATGGCGCAGTATGTCAATAGCCAAATGAATGGCTGTTCTAAATTGGTTCAGACTTTGTTCATTTGGATATATCCTTAAAGGAAACATCACTAGCGTCCTAGATTACTTTTGGGTCCATATCATACACAAACACAAGTTTAAGTGTTAAATTAATTTTCCCTATTTTTGTAGAAGTACCTGTAATTAAGACATTTGTGTGTTCTGTTTTATGTTGGATTACTTTATATATGCAGCCTATGTAAGAAACTATAAAAAGCAAATTATATAATTCTATTATCAGAGGAAAAAATATTTTTTGCTTGCTCCAAAACATAAAATATCAGGTATAATACCCATAGCAATAGGAATTGGTAAAATTTTAGGGAAATTCCCCATGGCTTGTCTTATGAGCAGTTATTCTGGTTGCTTCAACTGGCTTGCATTGATTGTCTGATTGAATAATCATATAAATAGATGTTTTTGGAGCAGTACTGGTGCAGTTGTGTTAAATATCAACTAGATTATGCATATATACTAATATTGCAATGTAATGCAGAGTTCAAGTTCAACTTAAAAATGCAATCAAGCGTAATGTTGGTAAATATTTGCAGAGCAAAAAGCAGTAATAGGTGTGTGTATGTATAGAGCAGTTTGATTTAGTTTATAACTTTGTGTTGTGAATTGTGATAAAATATCTAATTTAGAAAATATTCTAAAAAAATACAATTGCAAATCTAGAATCAAACTTAAATTTCAAGTGAACAGTATAGTTGGCAATGCTTAAGTAGTTGCAGAGCTCAAGCTTTAAAATATTTTTGGGTAATATGCGAAGCAGTTTGTTAATTATCTGTGTTTTGTTAATATATTTAAAATGCAAGGCTCAAACTAAACTTAAAAACTTTGATTGAAGATAAAGTGTCCGTAAATATAAATAGAAATATTTGTCAACATTTGTTGAGGTGTGTGGTATTGTTATATAAACTTACAAAGTTTGCACTTTGATAAAATTAAGTATTATTCAAATAAATACTTAAACTCAGTAGTTTTGAACATTTTACTTCTTGCTGAAGTTTTGCAGACGGATATAACCATATATTTCAGATATTTTTTTTAGTGTTTTATGAGAAAACTCCTAAATTGATACTCGAGTTTCTGTTTGAATTACAAGGGATTATTAGTTGATTGCTATTAGCAACAATATTACAACCAATCAGAGCTAAGAACTCATTTTCAAATATTTTACCGTACTGCACCTCATAGGTTACCTTGGGGAACTCCCAGAAACGATAATCCGGTTTCTGTCTGGACTTGTTTTCCTTTATATATACTGTATTTGCTCGTTTAATAGCCCTGGTGCTCATTTTTTTAAACATACTCACTAACCGGGCCCTTATTCAAACCAGCCCTTATTCAAGCAGGGGCGCTTGTTATTTTTAAGGTAAAATTACACACAAAAATACCGGTAGATAAGATCGATCGTTACAATAATTAATACCGTATATTGTCATTTCCAGTTCTCGAGTATGATTTAAACGAGAATAATGAAAATTTTGACTTCTTCTACGCACCGCAGGTACAAATCCGCAAAAAAAAAACAACTTTTACACCGGGCGGGTATTCAAGCACCGGCCCGTATTTATTTTCATTTCCTGTTCACATGGGCAGCTATTCAAACAAGACCGGGCGTTAAAACGAGCATTTACGGTATATCGATTAGTCTCGAGGGCTTTCATTGGCTCAATTTCTTTTTCCGGTATGTTATTATTAAAACACCGCTATAGAAAGGCAATATTTCATTACAAAATGGTGCAATAACATGCTTCTGGTTAGTAATCTCTTTCTTTTTTAACTGAGAGGGGATTCATTAGTGTATTTATGTTCCTTTATGACGGGTTGGCCCCTTCTCAAATTCAAAATTTAAAAATAAACACAGTCTGATGTCATACTATTCACTAATGAAATCTTTATAACATTTGAGTACCTCAAAAAATAACTACCGGTAAATGGTGATGTATAGTTGTCATTGCATTTGAACATTCACCCAACAACATTTAACTTTGCTCAAAACAAGTGTTACTTCTTATTCCTACCGTAACTGCAATTGTCTAGTTGTAATCAGGGCTGGTGGGCTAGTCCGAAATTACAGTGGCACCGGCTCTGCCTTCAGAGACACAGCCATATGCTGAAAAGGATATATTTTATTAATTGTATGATATTATAAATGTTAAAAAATAATTAGATGTTATGGAGCTGGCTCTGGCTTCAGCTCCATCTAACTTGATAAGCTTCGCTTCAGTTCCACCGAAATCTCACATCTCTAAGACTCTGGGCTCCAGCTTCGGATTCGGCTTTTATTTGGAAGATTTATTTCTCTGAAAAAAAATCTTTCATTTATTTCCATCCATCTTTTTAGCTAAAAATACATTTCTATGCATTAAATAAAAGAAATCACTTTTTTAGACATCTAAAACCTTTTGGAACAAAACATTACACCAAGCTCAGTGGGCCTAATTGAAATCATTTATATTTTTAGGATGTTAATAGGATAGGCAATTCCCAGAAATATGGAAAATAATGATAATCTGAATAATATATATATAGGATCATTTATAGAATATTTCCTGGAATAATAATAATATTGTAGCCATGTAGGTTGATATTTTGAATTTTTTTTTTTTTGTAAAGCGTTGTTAAGACTGATTAGCCGTTATTAATAAAATTTGATTTATCAAAATATTGCTTAGTGATTTGCTTATTTAAATTTCATAACTTGGCAACGAAATATTTAAAAATCTCAACAAAGTTATTCCTGAATACCTATTGCAATGAATCAAAATTAATTTATATTTCATAGAATAGATTTGTAGCATTTCAAATTGTCATCAATCAATTTTTATGGATAGGCTATACAATAAATTGCGTTTTTTGCTCATTGTAATAGCCCAAGTTTGTAGTACATCTATATCCAAAATATTTTATCTCAGTTTATACCAGAGAAGGTAGCACAAAACTCTTCTTGTAATGTAACGATGAGCTGCTATCCTATGGCTATGAGTTCGACCAGGGACTATCTACCTCTATTTTTGCAATAATACTTTCCTCGACTAAGTACCGATATATCCATCTTTGTGAATTACCAAAACCTCCACAGCAAAAATCCCCTGGAATTATATGGTCTGGTCTGCACTACATCATTCTTGAAAATGTGCTGACATGTGTACAACTTCTGCTTTTATATTTTCGTATAATGTATAAATAATTATGGCGTCATGTAATGGTGCAATCAGAATTGCAAATTTTATCAACAATAATTTACAAAGAGGTCATTCCCACTAACTCAGAGATAAGTCCCATGTTGGAAGTTAAGTCATTCATTGTGTTTTGTCATCATTATGAATTTTATAAATGAATTATGAAATTTTTTCAGAATAATTTGCCTAAAGTTAGGTCATTCCCACTAACTCAGAGATAAGTCCCATGTTGGAAATTAGGTCATTCATTCCGTCATTATTACGAATTTTTATGAATGAAGTTTTATCTTTAGAATAATTTGCCTAAAGTTGGGTCATTCCCACTAACTCAGAGTTAAGTATCATGTCTGAATTTGAGACAGTCATTGAATTAAGTCTCAACATCGGTTATTTGTTGATGAATTGAATTCATTTCCTTCAGATGCCTCGAGTCAATTCAATTTTTATATACACAATGATTCTGGTTCTCAAAACATAAAATTCATCTATGGCCAGGGTTAGCATATCGTGTTTATTTCTAAGATTTGTGCTTATTTTCTAGCCCGCGTCTTATAAAGTAACAATGTGCTCATTTCTAAGAAAAGTGCTTATTTTTGAGAGGCGTGCTTATTTTGTCTTGAAAATATGGAAGACTCGTTCATGTTTCTGCTGTTGTTAAGAAAAGTGCTTATTATGAGTGGCGGCTTAGTCTCTTATTCAAAGTGAATAGTATTAATCATATCATAAAATAAAAGCATGTATATCCTCGCAAATAGGCCAAGTTTAAAATTCAAAAAAAAAGTTGCCAAACTGATTGGTCGGCTTAAAAGTCAAAAACAAGCCATGTTTACCACCTTAGATACAGTCCCCTTTTATAGTTTAAAAGAAAATTATATGACCAGAAACCAGTCATAAATATTTTAACATTTCCTTTTTATTTTATGTCATAAAACCAAAAATAGGGACATCCTTGTGTATTTTTAGGGATGCATTTTGGTTTATAATCTTGACTCGTTCAAACACATTATCTCATAACAATCCTTTTATGGTATTCCTCAAAGAAGATTGAGTTTTTCTGGCAGGTATTCGGGGCTTTCCAAGTGGTTAGATATGTACATACTTGGTTAGTTAGTAAACAGAAACCTTTGATTTTCTGTAAAATTCATTTCCCCGGGATAAATATAGTAAATATATAATTTTGTTTACCTTATATACAGGCTACAACATGCCCATAGCAAATGTCTTACATATATGTACAAGGAGCTCATACGGTCTTGTATTAAATTAGGTAAAAAAAAACTGTGATAAGCTTTTTGCAACTTATGGTGGGCATATGAGGTTAAGTAGATTGATTAAAAAAATCTTGAATTAAGAATGATTGAAATGAAACAAACCTGGTTAAGATATATTCAGAACTGACTTCATTGTAACAGGACTTTATTATGGTATGTGAAATATCAGTTTTTATAAAACGTTTTTGCTGTTTATATTTAATTGAGTTGAGTGCCTACTTTTAAGAAGGATTCTGATTTTTTTTAATCTAGCGGAATTGTAATTTGTGCATAATCACTGGTTGGCTCATGAGTAGACTAATTAATTACTTATTAATCTATTATTTAATAATCATTAAAATGAATTATGTAAGGAATGATGGGACAGCTCTACGCAGAGTAAGTTTGTTGACATCTATTTTTAGAAATGTTTGTTGACAGCTATTTTTAGAAAATTTTTGATTAAATTCAATTTTTTGTTTGTTTAAAAAACCTTCTGCCTGACTTTTGCTGCAATAGACATTAGAGCCAGGAGCGAGGCCAGTCCCTTAGAAATGTAAAAAAAAATTATGTACCATACATAGCCATTTATGTAGCTTGAAACACTTTTTAGACTCGCAAGACTCCTATCTGTTGCAGTCTAACTTGGCAATTAGAAATTTCTATATAACTGACTACACCCCTGATTAGAAAATTATATCTAACTATATGCACAGAACGTTTTTTACAAAACTCTTTTTTCATCTAGGAGGAAGTGCTACAGCAAAGAGACGCCACTGGAGAAGTAGTACGAACCGTAAGATATCCCGCAGATTTACCAGAGAGAGTTAGACAGACTGGTAAGTATTTTTGAGTCCTTAAAATAGGACGTTTTCATATTTACCTCGGGCGGGGGCATAGTAGATGGTACTATGGATCTATCAAATGACAGATATATAGAAAACTAAAAGTTTCTTATTTATCTCGGGGAGAGGTAAGCTGTTAAGATGTAATAATCAAATAGCAAACTATAGCCCACTGTCTGGTTGCCAGTCCAGAACGTGAAATTGGAATAGTCCAGGGGCGGGTAAATTATGGCTAGCAGGCCAGTCGGCCCATCGATGTGCGATCCGCCCTACCGAAGTGTTTCATCCTGTCCACTTGTGACTGCTGAAATTACAACTATAGCTTTTATAGATATAAAATTCCGTTAAAAATATTGATGAAAAATCATTCCATAATGACCCCAAGTGTTGGATTGTGATTCTTGTTATTATACAAACGTTGCAAATAGTGTGAATCAGCAGTGTCATATATATACAGGGTGTCCAAAAAGTTTCGCCTGATCATAAAGTCTTTAAAACCAAATGATAGTTTATTTTTTCATTGTAAAAAGATTTATAGTCAACCTGTATTGAATTGGATGTTATAGATGTTGGATGTTGTGCTTATCAATTATAATACAATAAAATTTATTTAAATTTACATTTGTTTTTGCCATAAAATCGGGCGAAACTTTATGGACACCCTGTATATGTATAAAATTTATACTATTTATTATTGATCTCTTGTTGGGTAATTTTATTGGTATCTGAAATTTCTTTTTTCAGGGGGCACGTTTGAAATTGGACCTAATAATACAATAAGAATACAAACCGGTCCAGGACAAAATACTGGAAATGTTGGCGGACTTGGGTCCCAACCACCCCAACCAAGAAGATGGAGAATGGCGAATGTTATTTCATCCGATCACAGAAGATTTTTAACTAACTTGCATTTGAACAGAGAACTTGACAGGTGAGATCCAGGATTTTAAACATAATTAAACATTCTAGCATTTTCTGACTTGGAAAAGAATCAAATACAATATTTTCAGAATTCTTTTCAGTAGTTCTCATCGGCCACATCCCTATCACACATCTTTAGTCTTTGACTATGAGCGTGAATGGATTGTATTTTTAAGGCTTGTCCACAATTGGCCGAGTGCTTTAGCGGCTACAGTGTCAGACTTTGCTTTGTTTGTGTTGCTGATTAAAACTCTTGGTCAAATCCTGAGCTCATCACTGATGGCGCAGCTAGGTTTAGGGTTCGAGACTCCCACATTTTGAAAATTTCTAAATATCAAAAAACAGCAACAAAAAAGAGTTGACTTTAAAAAGTGACACAATCATGGCAACTGTTTCCAAAGCCAACGCATGGGAAATTCCGATTTTAAAATCCTTTTCTTTAAAATACTGCCTATGGCAGGCAATTCTTATTGCTTTTTTTGTTGAGCTTTAAATTGAATGTAAATGATGAATGCATTTGCCATGAATAAACCAGTGATTGACTATCAACATTCTTTTCTATTTCCAGACTTGCTTCATTTGCTCGATGGCCGGTTGGTCGTCCGAGTGTGTCACCAGCAGCTTTAGCGAGAACAGGATTTTTCTATCTTGGTGACATGGACAGAACTCAATGCTTTTCTTGTGGTGGAGTTTTGAGGAATTGGACTCTCGAAGATGATGCGATGGTAAAAAAAATTTGAGAAATTGACAAACTCAAAGAAATTTTTTGAATGTGCTGACTGACTGTACTTCACTCAAATCATGGATTAGTTTGTAAGGAATAATAGGTGGCAGTCGATAACATGGCCTAATCATATAGCAATCGGTGACCGTACTTTGAACCCATGTACATTTGAACCCATGCGTATATCCACGGGTTCAATCTATATGCGGGTGCTAAAACCCATGGGTTAGGGTTAGTATGGGTTGAACTATCCGTGAGAAAAAAAAAATTTCCATAGGTGCAATAGCATACAGGTGCAATTGTCATGGGTTCAAATGTACGTGGGTTCAAATGTAATGGAACCATAGCAATCATATGGTCTCTCTTTGGTTTCAAGAAGGAGGAATGTATAAAACGCTATCTCGCGACTCAAATTTTCAAAATTTTGCATTCAAATCCTGGTGCCTGGTGCTGTAATCCAAAATGTTTGGTTTCCTTTCTCAGATTTTGTTTTTTAAGTCTTTCGCCTTTCTGAAATTTAGGAACATGTTTTTACAGGCAGAACATCGTTCACATTTCCCCAATTGTAAAATGATACTCGGAACCGAGCAACGTAATTACAAAGTCAATGAGTTTCCCGACCCACCTGCAGATCGTGCGAGAGATTATCCATGCAGATTTCCATCCAATCCACATATGAGAAATGAGGTTGCAAGACAAGATACTTTTGATCGTCGATGGCCGGTGGGAAGAACAGCTGCAACTCCTGCAGAAATATCACAAGCTGGATTCTTCTTTCTAGGTACTCATCTTTATCAAATTACTTCACTCACACTGTTTTTATCTGTACTATTAATAAGGCTTTAGACAAGCAGTCAGAAAGAGCTTCTATTTTTAGAAAAGACTGGAACTTATTGTTAGTTATCAACTTATATATTTATAGTTTGTGGTGAAGGTAGGCATCAATATCGTAAGGCTCATATATTCTTACTTTGTACGATTTACATTTTAAATTTTTATTCCAGGAGAGCGAGGCAATGATAAATCGCTTCAGACTAGCATTCACTGATACCCAAGAAACCATTATAAAATATTAGAATCTTTACTGGTAGTCATTGCCTGTTCTCTATATAACTCTGGATAGGGGAGACATTGGAATATTGATACTTTTATAATCTTACTTCATACAATTGGACAGTTTTTTGTTTTGTTCTTTTGAACATTTTGAATTTTTATTATAGGAGAACGTGACCGCGTTAAATGTTGGTATTGTAACGGCGGTCTCCAGAATTGGGAATACGACGACATGCCATGGATCGAACATGCAAAATGGTTTCCAACCTGTCAGTTTTTATTGCAAGTAAAAGGACAACATTTCGTGTATCGGCATTTAACAATGAACCCCCATCTTGCACGACCGATCATCGCAAAACAAGATGGAGCAACTGTTGATCCCACTGGAGGCACTGCTGGAGGTGCAGGAGGATCGAGTCAAGGAAATGTTGATATTCCACCTGGTGGTCCGGTAGACAGACAACCTGAACCAACACCAGAGATCATTGATCCACAGGTACAGAGATGACGAAAAAAATTCTTGAAAATTTTTTTATTTCTCACTTCCTTTTTTGTACTTTACTAAAGTGAGGTCACAAGTGCTCACTCAAGAAGAAATGATTCTCGCCACTGAGTACATTCATGAGTAACCACTAAACTGCCCATTACGTCTCCATGAGATTTCGCAGCACTTTCGAGGGATAGAAATGTATGTGTATGTATATGTACAGAGATGGATGAAAAAAATTCAAAATTTAAATTTTTGAAGTCTTTTTACAACAGTGGTTCCCAAATCGCTGCCTGCAGGCAAATTATGGCTCGTGAAACGGTTCAATATAGCTCGCCAAACCTAAGGAGAAATAGTTTAACACTTTATGTTTTTATTTTTTTGCGTTCTGGGTACTCCCCTGCGGTTACTCTAGCTGCTTCCACTTCTAGATTTTGGCCCCTGGTCGACCTTTAGGAACGACTGTTCTGGGAGGTCACAAGCAGTCACTCACGACTGATTAAATTGGTGAAATATTCATTTCTCTTTATTACTTATCTACTATTTCCAGGTTGAGATGAGAAAACGTAAAGAAAGAGTGAAAACTACAATGGAGAAATCAGATCTTGTGAAAAGTATCTTACTGATGGGATTTGATGAAAAAATTGTAAGTTTTTTTTTATGAAGTGTTCCACCTTTAAGACCTGAATATAAATCTGTAAATAAATCCCCTGATAAAGAATATTTGTGTGTATATATATTATTATTTTAAAACAAGTCCAGCAGCGGAACGTCGAACAAACGAAAGTTTGTAAACAACTAGTGGTCAGTGCTATAATAAAACCTGGAATCAGCTTAGCTTAGATTTTTATTGTCTCAAGTCTTGTTCTAAGCAAGTAAAACATGAAAATTCAAAATGTCTTTCAAAATTCCAGGTTGCAGCTCTCCTTGAAGATAAAATCGAGAGTGGAAACGTTGAAAATCCTGATGATATTTATGATTCTATGTCAAGCTTACTTGATGATGTCATGAAGAAAGAAAATGAACTCAAAGAAGAAGAGAGCCAAATGCAGGCTGCTGTTCAGATACCTGCAGTGATGAACGTTGGTGGGGCTACTTCTATGGCTTTTCAATCTTATAACTCAGGTATTAACAGATATTAAGTTACTATTTAAAAGTACATTTTCTGGTTTTCCCCGAGTGTGTGTACCAGGTTAGGGTTAGGCCATAATCTTTTTCCGATTTTCCTAATTTTAGTTCTATTACGAGTTTGGAGAATGTCTGTGTTAGCCAAATGAATATACCCTCCTATGGTTCTGTCCCTTTACACAACTTGATGTAAAGTAGGCGAAAAAATTAGTTACCTCTATATTGGTACATACACTTCTGGATCGTCTGCACAAGATTACATATACAAGTTCCCTCTAGTTTTTGGAGAATTTGAATGTTTGGACTTCGAACAAGGTCTCTTATATGCATTTGCTCATATCTACCAGTAGTTATAAAAAGAGTTACAATTTATGAAGAGTATTAGAATTTATTCAACTCGGAATTGCCTGCCTGCTTGATTACAAGGGATTTGTAACCGGTTCTCCCATAGTATGTGTACAAGGGTAGTGATACGCCATAGTCTTTTTCCGATTTTCCTTATTTTAGTTCTATTACGAGATCGGGACCGTCTGTGTCAGCCAAGTGAATATACCCCTGCCCATAGGATTCAGTCCCTTTACACAACTTAATGTAAAGCAGGCGAATAAAACTTCATATTAGTACACTCACTTCTATTTTCAACTTCAACCAAACAAAAACAATGTCGCTGGGCCAGTGACAGATTTTTTTCTATTGTTATAGCCTACAGCTCAATGTCAACTCCAATGTCATCATTGGGGCCTTCCCCAGGATCAGGAAAATATCAAGTTTCATTGATCGATGACAATGAAGAACCGATGGATGAAGACATGTATGGAAGTGTTGAAGCTGGCCCTTCCACCACTGAAGGTGTGAATTTTTTGTTTATTATGAGGGATTGTTATGTTACTGCCCCTCGCCGTGTAGAGTGGTTAACATCAGAGCTTCCCAAACTTTTATGCTCGCAACCTCTTCAAATATATTAATATTTCTTGCGACCCCATTAAGTTAGCATTGCTATGCAAGCATTGCTATGCCGCTTCTCAAGTCTTACGATCAAGGTTGGCATAGTTATGCAAGCCGCATTCTGATTGTCTCGAAATTGTGAGATTTATGTTTATCACAAGTTTCAATAATCGTGTTTTGAATCAAACGTCTAAAAAATTATAGTCGATATAGTACTTTGTGTGTAATTGGTGTACTCTTTGCGCCCCCTAAAATTTGTTGCGCGCCCCTTTGTGAGGTTGCGACCCCGAGTTTGGGCCATGGTTTATGTGACCACTGGTCGATTACAGCTACCTCAACTATTAAGTTCAAGCATCTGAAATAACTAAATTGTTCCACACAGAAAAATCTAATGTGCACTTTGTATTTTCTCAGTTACTCCAGCAAAACAACTTCTCAATGCAGAAGAAAATTCTGAGTCACTCCAGGTAAGTTCTTATTATTATTCAACAATATTCATTCACCGTTTTCCCATCGCCTTGGACTGTTTTCAGTGGTTTTTATGAGATTTTACTCAAAGCAATGTCTTTCGCACTCACTTGGGAGTAAAGGAAGGCCCCTCCTGAAGTATGCGCACCAAGATGGTGCACAACCTGAACTCAGGTTATGGTTCAGGTTGTGCGACATCTTGGTGCGCATACTTCAGGAGTACCGAGGAAAGATTCATCTCTGAGAAAAGTTATGGATGGCCACTAGAGTGAAAAAAACTACTGAGAATTATAGGATATGGTTTACATATTTATCCCGAGCGGTAAAAGATGATAAAACAGCTTAATAACCATATGGCGAACCACGGCTTCTCTTTCGGGTTACCATTCCATGTCGGGTACGGGATTAGTTAGCCAGTTTTCAGATGCATGGATTTGAAATTATGTTGCTGCCTTGCACGCCAGTAGTATATGCAGGTTGTGGTTTAGAATCATTGGTTCAGAAAGTCTTTTTTATTTGTCGTTTTCATGTCGAACAAGGCAAAACCGGTCTTAATTGTTTTTATTTTATATAGAAACAACTAACTACCTTGGTATTCAGCATGGTAGTTTAACCGGTCTTATATTGTCTTTATTTTATATAGCAACAACTGGAGAAAATAGAAGAAGAGAGAATGTGTAAAATCTGTTTCAGTAATCCTGCTGATATGGTTTTTATTCCTTGTTCTCATATGATTTGTTGCATGGAGTGTACACAGGCAATCAGACATTGTCCCGTTTGCAGAAAAAAGATCGAAAAAGCGATCAAGACATACGCGAATTGATAAAATATATAAGTGAGTGTTTATGCATGTTCTTGTTCTTTTCGAGCTTTCAACACTTTTGACCTCTGCAGCACAATTCACGGTACCCCCTGTAGTATCTGAACCAAGATGGCGGACACCGGAACGTAGTATGTGTACCAGGTTAGGCTTAGGCCATACTTTCAGGTACAAATTCTACGAGAGTCACTTGGCTAGTCTCCGAACTCATAATAGAATTATATAGGGAAAATTGGATAAAAATTTTGTCCTAACAATAGCTTGGTACACATACTACATTCCGTGTCCGCAATCTTGGTTTACATACTATGGGAGTACTAAATCACAACAAGTTGGCAATAAAATTTGACTTTATAAAAATTAAATAACGCCAGTAAAAAGATTTACGATTTAAGGACATTTTTAATCGATGCAAGGCATCTTCTCGTTTGTTTGATAATATTACCAGCTGTACTTCTCTCATTTTCTGGATAAATAGAAAAATTCCAACCAAAAACCTCATTTTTTAGGTTTTGACGCAGCAATGGACATCTTTTTCTAGTGAGCTACCGTAGTTAACTCTTCATCAAGCAGCCGTACATCAAGTAACTGTGAATCTATACATATGAGTGATTATGGGTGGAGCTAATAGCTGTGTGGTGGAATCACTCCCCCCAGTCCATACTGGAATAATTTGTGTGTTTTGTATATATTTTAACGTTGCCTATTCTATGATTGATGATGCGTATGTGATCAAATGCATTATTGGATTCTCTTGTAATAGTCAAATTGCAAATTGTTTTTGTTATCATTTGTTTGTTTTCAATTTTCAATATTGTATTGAATTTCACTTCACAAATTTCTGCCATTGTATAAAAAATAATTTCACCAAGCATTGCTTGCAATTTGTTTTGCATTTCTTGGTAGCCCAGGGTTAAGAATTATTGTGCAGAGATTTTTGCTTTCAATGTAAATTTCATTCAGTTGCATGGTGTCTTTTAAGAGCGTGGTGTAAATAGTGGGAGGTGAAAATGGTTTCTTTTAGTTTAAATGGTTTTGGGATTAGTTATTCGATATTTATTTTCAAACGATGGTTTTAAAATTTGTTCTTCATATTTTGGTTTCATTACAACTTCTGAAAATTATTTTTTCAAATCAGTTCCATATTTTTCGATACTCGACAGAGTAAAGATAATAAATAAAACATGCAAGGAAGCAAGGGCCATACTCGGAAAAGACATAAATTTAATAGTTTTGATATATGTTACTTATCAAGGTGCAATCTCACGTAATAATTCTATCTATTGTCAGTAACTTTTGCCATTTTACTGGTAGCCCGTAGCTGGGCTTGGGCATCGGTCTCGCTTTTATTTCTAAGTGACTTCTCGTGATTTTGCTTTAAGCAAATATTGTTTAAAAAAATGAAAAACTAGTCATCCTCCACTTTCCTAAAACAAAACAATTTTTAATATCTTTTATGGCAAATTTGTTTCCAGCAATTTCTTTATCAATTTGATCAGTATTGATATCAGTTTATCAGCCTTTTTCCGAGCGATTTTTTAAATTAATTTTTGTAAAAACCACTTCACACATTTGGTTACATCTCCTAAAATTTCTTTTTTTTTCTTTTGAGAGAGGAAAGCTTATAAGATCATTCAATCATGACAAACCATGACTTTTTATACAATTTTTTATTTCAGCCTTGAAAAGATGAAAAAAAAATTTGAAAAAGTTGAAATCATTTTTACTCTGACTAAAGAGTTGAAAATTTTTTTAATAAATGAGTGAAAAAATATTTGGTTTCAACTTCACTCGGACTTGAGAGTTGAGAAAAAAATTTGCTTGTGATCCCTGTTTTGAGGAGTTATGAAAACCGACTCCAGCCCCGATCCAATAAAACCAACCTCTAAACCCCACATCCTGAAAATAAGGTGGAAGGATAAATTTTGTGAGAATGTTTGTGATTGGGGAGAAAGAAAGAATGTTGACTTTTTTTTTGGTTTAAGTTACGATATCTGTCAGTTTTAATTTTTCAAAATCTGATTTTTCATGCAGTTGTAAAAGTTGTAATAAGAAATAATTTATTTGCAATATTTCAAAATTCGACAGGAACAGTTAGGACATATTTAAGAGTATAATATAGTCATATTGAAGTTCCCCTAATTTTTGTTCAGCAGATTCTCTGATATACTTGCTTAACTGAAATAATAGATTACCTTCTCAAGTCGATTCTTAAAGTCAGTTTGAAGTATTTGATTCGACAAACCTATTTTTGATATAACCACAAAAGAATCTTTGGTTGTACTGAATTTTCAATTTTTTGCTTTTTGATCTGCTTGCTTCTGTCAAGTACTTCCTTTTCCTAATTTTTATCCAATCATCTTTGAAGCCACAATTCACTAGTATACTTAAATAATATTACTCTTTCTTTAGATAATTTTCAAGCTTTTAAAATTAATTTAAGGCCTCAATTCCGAGATGAATGTGCTGTTTTTCTTGCAATTAATTCATGCAGTGTAGCTTTAAATAAGAAATATGCAAGTTTGCTTTAGTTTTCTTTCATGTTTTCGAGAGTTTATCCCCCATTTTCAATTTTTTAAACATGGGCCATGTTTAAGAGCTTGAAGTTAGAGGGTTTTCTTTCACATTTACGAGTTGAGGTTCTTTTTTTATTTTGGTTTCGAGCGAACAATTTTTAGAATTTGAGTAATGGGTTCCTTGTTTTAAATTGACTAGGAGTAAAGTTTAAAACAGGCATAACATAGCAATAATTCAACCCCCTTTTCTCAAATCCCATTTTCATATGCAAATTCTGTACTCCATTATCTTTTCAGACTGCACAAAACAATATTTGGATTTAGAGAAACGGATTCTTTCTCTTATATTGAACAAGAAGGAAATTTGAACATAAACACAGACTAGTAGTTCAAATCCTTGTTCTGGCAAAGAGTCCATTTTTATGCGCAAATTTCATTATTTTTTCCGCACAGAATAAGAATCTAATGAATGCATTTTAATAAATATTCCTTCAAATTTAATTAATATTACTCTCTCAGTTTTATAATTTTTACAGAATACTTTTTATATCAAATAACGCGGTAACGAATTTCAACAGAGATAATTTAACCATAACAAGAAAAGTTATAACTAATGTACACCTAGGCTCTAATATCATATCAAAATTATCTGATAATGACCAAATGAGTATAAAACAATTTTAGCCTTTGTTATTACATGGTTCATTAAAACCAAATTTGTATAAAGATACATGCAATGCAGTCTTTCTTTGGGGAAATTTTCTTAAAAGCGCTCTAATTGGCTTCGCTCGGCTTTTGCTTTTGTTGTTGTATTATGTTAAATAGCAATGCTAGTAAATTGAATATTAAATTAAAATTCGGAAAGTTTTTTTAGAACTTTTGAATCCGGATTCCCAGTAGCTAATTTTGTTCTTAGATTCTCTTTTTTCAACTTTTCAGTTTTATTTGAAAACTTTGAAATTGCGTTAGATTCGAATATTTCTTAAATTTATCTTTTGCGCTACAGAATTTTGATGTGTGACGACACACAGATAGTCGACTGATTATCATATTTTGTCAGCGAGAAAAGATAAATTCGAGATTTCTGAAGTTTTTAATTTCAAATTTTCTAACAAATCTGAAATTTTGGTTGGCATCACTCATCGAATTTTGGTTTTGAACTCAAAATTTCGTTTGAAAAAAATATATCTGAAAAAAATATCCATATTCTCGCCTATTGTATATATATTATTTGTAAATTTGTAAAGTTGATTCACTGTGTATCAAATTTCTTCATGCATCGTTTGAGATGTTTTGCAGAGCTGCATGAATAACCAAGTTATAATTACAAAATTGATTACATATGCGGTTTTGCTCAATCATCTCATTTTTTTCGCCTTCATGCTCTATTGTGTTTGTACGTCCTCGTCGTTAGAGTGGACACTTTCTAAGTAAAATAAGTTTTGTCCATATTTTCCACTTGGGGGCATTGGCCCACATACACTCAAGACATGAGTTAACTGAAAGAGTGTGAAATTAAGTTGTTGTTTTTTTCACTAAAGATACTAAGTAACAAAAAGGGCTCGAGTTGGAAAGAGTTGGAAAATTAATTTGAAATTTTGTGTCAAAAATTTATCTATTATCATATCAATTACAAAGATCATAAAAATTATTAATATTATTATCAATAAATTATCTTATCTAAGATTATGGTTTAATTCTGAGGAAGAAGGAACCTTTTTAGTGAGTTTAGATAATTAAATTTGAACTGTACCCTGGTACAAAAAAATTATGGAATTTTGTAGATTTTAATGCTCGAGCACTTGTACAAAAAAAGAGAATTCTGAACGAATCGTGACTACCAATTGGCAATATTCAACTTTTTTTGTTCTTTATTAAAATAAAATTGCTTAGGCTGACAGATAATGCTATTTTGTTCTGAAAGTTTAGCAATAAAACTTTTACTTTAGAATTGAAATACTCCTAAATCTTCAAAATTTGAAAATATGAATCCAACTCCACAGCCCACTTAAAAAATAACACGGAAGGAAAATTGATAATTCCAAAAGTTTTAGGATTTTTTTAAACAAAGTTTTTAGAAATAATTAATCTTTCTGACAAATGATTTGATTTACTGTATATACTCACATGTAAGCCGAGTTTGAAACTCAAAACAAAGTTGCCAAACTGACGGGTCGACTTTTACACGCATAACTCTGATTGCACTAAAAATCCGGCATATACTTGCATAACTTTAATCGCACTAAAGGAGCGTCTAAATGGGGTGCTGGCTTACTTACGTTATGACAGCAATAACAGTCGGCCGCGATGCGAATTTTTATAAATTCACTCTTTTAGAGCCGCTTTTAGGGGGTACTCCTATATGCAAGATCGGCTTATAAGTGAGGATATACAGTTATCATTCATGCATCGAAAAATATTTTAATTATCTGGCTTTACAAATTTCTTAAGGTAATTCAAAATTAATTTTTTGTTTTTTTCATCACATTTTTCTAAAAAAAAAATTTGAATCAATTTTTTCAACGCTAACCTGCATTTTGTAACTAGATAGATAGATTAGCGTGTTTTAATACAGCTTTACTTAAAAACAATTAAAAATATATAGTATCAATTCCTTTAAGGAACTAGTTGCTAGTTATCCCCCCCCCCCCTCAGTTGTGAATTATTATTATGGAAGTGACTGAACCAAACACGCCTGCAAATGGGGTATTTTAGGGAGGTTGATTATTGATCAGGTGTCTTTGCTACCAAAATGTAACAGTACGAGTTACAGGATTTATTTTTTGCATCAACAACATTTTGCTTCGTTCAAACTTTCAAAAAATTAGCATTCTATTGCTAGAGTTAATACTGATGAAAATATGGACTTTAGTCTTGGCGACATAAAATGTTAAAAATGATTAACATCTGCAAAATATATTCCCAATTACTCAATTTTGTAGCATTAACATTTTCAACCAATACTGGCTAATTTAAAAAAAAAAGTTCTTTTTAAAAAATTAAAAAACTTATATACATTAGGTTACATATGTTACAGTGTGATGCAAAAAAATCTCACATTGAATTTTTATGTAATTGAATTCAAAATGTGGGAGATTTTTTAACAATTATACAGGGTGTCCATAAAGTCCCTTTACCATTTCAATTTTGTGATGAAGTCAGTTCTCAATATATTTTAACCAGGATTGTTGTTTTTGAATGAGTAATTGCTTAAGTATTTTTACTTCTTTCAATACATCTGTGATGGACAAAACAACATAAGGTATCAATAAATTCCCTTTGCAATTCTAAAATATTTTAAGACTTTATGGACACCCTGTAAATTTGTACAAAGCAGCGCCAGTCATCTTTGCTAAATCTGGTAACATTGTTTGCTAGCAAGGCATTTTTATATTTGCTTCTTAAATTATGGGTTCGATACTTGTCTACAGTGATTCTTAATTAAGTCCATGATCTGTGGCTGCATGTTTCCATCACATATTTTGTTTGGCAAGTTCAATATTGAAAAAGCAAACAACCGAAAGCTAAAGCATAACTGCATTACAGTTTAAAAT